AAACAGCAGTTATATTGAAAATCATGCTGCCTGCAGCGCCTTGACACACCATTCATTGTGCACATCTGTTCTCTGTCTGAGCGTGTCACTTTCAGTAGTCAAGCTGTGATATATGACTTGGTCCCTCTCCTCTGACCTGTCACGCAGCATGTCTGTTATTTTTATCACGTCTGCACCTAGCACCGTCTATAACGCCATCTTCCAGCCGGATGTTCTGCACATTCACCGCATCCTCACCTCACCGTCCAGATACCGAGCCCCAACTTGTCTGTGCCTGACAGCGACCATTGCAACCTGCTCAGTCATGGGTGATTACTCCCTCGTGGGCGGGGATTCTCTAACCTCAGAACAGCTGAAGTTGCGTGATTGACAGCTGGTACGCCCTCTCTGAGGGGAAGCGGCCCACTTGGTGACTATATTTGGAGCGCGCGGAGGTGTACTCGCGGAGGGACTCCAAGATGAAGATGCAGTGGGAGATGAGTAAGAGGAGCTGAAGTCAGAGCTACATGTACGCCACTGTTGGTCCTCGATGAGTCACAAGTGCAGCTGCACGAACACGCAGTAGACGATATTAGTGGTGATAATGAAAGAAGTTGTATTATTACCTGTAAAAGTATGAGTTTCACTGTCATGAATAACTAATCTGTGTGTGTTCCTGATGGTGTGTCATCACAGCTGCAGAGGAACCCTCTGCATGTGTTTACATGAAGGTGCACAAAGGGCTATTAAATGTGACACGGGCAAAAAAAGCAGGCATTGACACACACACAGGAAACAGCTCCCACTTCCAGTCCCACCCAGACAAAGTGTTCACTGTGCAAACACTACCATATCATTGACCAGGCTAACTGATTTTAATCTGTATACACACATTCCTACTCCGGGGTTTACCTGCATTAGAAGTTAACAGTTCAGGGTGTTACACTGACTCGCGTGTGGTTTTTAAATGTCGTCTTGTGGCGAGCAAATCAGGGATGCAACCAATTACGGGAGGTTTTGTGCAAGATTTGCAGAGAGATTAATGCGTTAGTTGTGTTTGGATGAACGTATCTGTGTTTTGAGATGATAACACGTTTCGCAGGAACGCCTTCAATTTGAATCACGACCAAGATTCGTGCAAGAGTGGAAAAACTATATCAGTCAGTCTAGTTTAGGCCAGGCAACGTATCTACACTAGCTTAATACACTTCTGAAAGTACTGAAAGTGCTAAGCTGCTACATTATTACCAATGTTATCATCTGAGAAAATTCTTTGTCTGAAAACACTAATTGCTTCACATTTGTGATATAATCCGCACATAAGAAATTAGTATTCATATATGTGCACGGAGACAAAGATGTCGGCACAACCGTATTTTTTCATCAGGTGTTTGTCTTTTACTTTGTTGCTTTTTGTGGTAAACAGTATTTACCACAGACAGACATCCACTTGCAGGGTTGAGGTCTCAGATATGAGCTACAGCTGAGGAAGTAACCTTTCCTGTGGAAAGTCAGAAGAGAAATATGGTCCAGTGTTTAATTGTTGTAATACTCTGATAATAATGTTGTCTGTCCTTCTTGTTTTCAGTATCAGTAACGCAAATGAGATGCACGTGATTCTTAATTGAGACTCTGAGATTCATTTATGAACAAAAAAGGTGCTGGGCTGTAGCCTAGTTGTCCTAGGGTGAGGCACAGGGTACACCCTGGACAGGTCCCAGCCTGTCACAGGAACAACACAGGAACTGATAACCGTTCACACCTAAGGCTAATTTAGAATGACCAATTGACCCACTAACTGTCTTTTGACTACGGGAATAAGCCAGAGTACCTGGAGAGAAACCATGCAGACACGAGGAGAAAATGCAAACTCCACACAGACAGGCTGCAGGTGGATTTGGACCCAAGACCTTGTTAGCCAAGATAAGCACACTGATAAGAAATAGTTACAATCTTTCAAGGACTCCTGAGGCACCAGAAACTTCTACTGATCCACCTGAGACTTCGCCTAAGAACCTGTTTCAGACACTGTTCAGCCAGAGGCCAGCCAGCAGACTTCTGATTTTAGTAGGCATTTCCCATCAAATTCAGGAGGCTCCTGCATATCTGGAAGACTGACAGAGCTAGGAATGTGGGATCGTAGGACGGAATGTGCAGTCTGATATCGACGTATGGCACTGTTTTATGTTCAGACCATCTAAAAGGTCTCTGACGCTGGCTTTGGTCTTCCTGTGGATCATTTGACTCGTTTTGACGCATAGATTTGAAGTGCGATTGTGTCAATGGCGAGTGTTTGCAGACGAGTCGACGTCTTTCATACAAGCTGCAGATGGCGGTCTGCTAGAAATCCGAGCACAGTGAGGTCTTTGGTGCAACACCCTCTTTGTGTTCATCGTGTAACTAAAAAACAGGGATGGCTACTGAATCCAGTTCATGCCACATTTGTATGCTTTGAAAGCGTTTGGTGGGATTGTCTGCACTGAAACGACACCTCCCTAAGTATTGCAAGTGTCCTGCATCGACCGTGTTTTCTCTTGTTAATGCACTTTAATTTGTGAAGCTCTTTCTTTCATTAAAACTTTCATTAGAACGTGACCAATTATTTGCCTTGTGGAAAGAGGACAAGGCCAAACAAATCATTGATCTTTGGGCGTGCTTGTCCAAATTTGACCAGAGAAGAGCACTACATACCCTCCACGACACTAAGTTACACGTCCACAAGGGGGATTCAGGGCTACGTCAACATCTATTGTGCCATCTGTGAAGAGAACAAAAAGCTACGTACGTTTTAAGGGAGTAAAACAATACTGCTGTAGAAATACCAGTGATAAATCAGTGCATCCACCGGTGCTCAGTGGAAACAACACCTAACGTTAAATTGGCAAACTTCACCTTCAAAAAGTCAACAAACCCTCAAGACAGCAAGTTACTGATGCGTAGCACAGATTAGCTCTTTCACTGTGATTTTTGATTCATTCAAAAACAGAGAAGCTATTAAAAAAAAAAAAATGTTTTCATGTTATTCAGCAGAACTAAAAGATTCATATGAAACTATTAATCAAATAATAAATTATGGTGTGATTGAGTGAATTAGCTCCAGCTGTGGTGTACACTTCAATGACTAAACAATTACAGAGTCTGAAATGTTTGTTAATATAGAACATGTGTACTTTTACTCCAGAAAAGGTTTATGTACAACTACATTACCATTACTACTTTTCTATGTATAGGATTTATGGCAGGATACCTCTTCCCTGTGTTTCCCTGTGTTCTGTAGCTCCACGGCTGGAGACCAGAGTGATGAATCTACAACAGACATAACTAAAGTTAACCTGCTGGTTAGCTGCACCCACAATTCACAAAGATTAGCCCACCTAGCACGCAGCAGCTATAAGTTATAAGACCCTTTAGATCTGCACAAAGTGACAGAAACAAACGTAACTGTTTTATCAGATCAGGTCAGACTAGTGACGGCTAGATGAGGCCTCACGGAGTGTGTGCTACATGACCCTTACCGTGTTTACGCCGTGTTGGTGTGTTGCTTAATAGCGACATCTGCTGGATTTAAAAAATAATTGCAGGCACGCTGGATACAAACGGGTGGATATGGCAGAAGAAAAAACAAAAAACACATGAAGCAGAGCTTTGATTTTCAAAACAAACTGCTTGATCTCATTTTGCTTCTCTAGCAACCCTCACTTATTCTAAAAAGACAAAGCTTTAAGTGTTTTTTAAACGGCTGTCTTTTTTGTGGCAAACAAATCAAAAATGCAACCAGTTACGGGAGATTTTGTGCAAGATTTGCAGAGAGATTAATGTGTTATTTGTGTTTGGATGAATGTATCTGTGTTTTGAGAGAATAACATGTTTCACAGGAACGCCTTCAATTTGAATTACGACCAAGGTTCGTGCAAGAGTGGAAAAACTATAGTTGTTCTCTACATATCAGTCAGTCTAGTTTAGGTCATGCAACGTATCTACACTAACTTAATACAGTTCAGAATGGTACATAAATGTTATATTCCTGATGTTAACAACACATTCTGTGAAGAAGGGAAGAACTCTGGTGATCCTTATTTCGCCCTTAATGCCTAACATGCCACTCCACTGGCAAATGGACACAGTCCAGCTGATATCCTCATGGGAAGGAGGATAAGGACAACGATTCCTGTCATTCCATCACAGCTAATGTGATGGAATGACAAGCTAACAAACTTACAGACAAAAACAAAGACAAAACTGCAACCGTAGACACAGACCACATGACAGGCAGCCTGGATAAAAAGTGTAGAGAGAAACTGAAGTAAGTTGATTCATTCTGATATCTGGACACCAAGCGAGTTATGAATTGTCCTGTTAACATAACCAGCTGATGATAAAGTGCTAACTGAATGAAAGAGAAATGTATATTCCAATTAATTTGATTATAAAATGATCGATTAATGCAGTAGGTAAATGGTTCTTGTACTTTGGACAGGTTGCCAGACTGTCACAGGGCTAACATTTAACCCAACCTCACTAATTACATATTGTTGGACTGTGGGAGGAAGTCCTGGTATCCAGAGTAGTATCCAAAAAGTTAACAGACTGATCAGGTAAGCCTCTCCAGGACCAACAGGATATACAGAGCCCCCACTGTATGTTGTTGTAATGGCAGAATAAAGTTAATAGAGTTTTTATAAAAGGTTAATCTATAAAGAGCTGTTTAAAACAAAGTATGAGGTAAATCAGAGATTGAATGATCATAGTTTCTAAGTCATAAGGCTTTGTGTCCATATCGGACCAATAAATCATTTATTTGACCATGGAGACCTTGGTGCATTGAGCATTGAAGGCAAAACTTTGTTGACTTGACCCACCGCTGCATCCCTGCAAAGCTTCTATAGCTGGATCCCACGAGTTTACCCAGCAAAGGTAGGACGTGCGCTGCTGCTGAGATTTTTTTCAGTAAGTTAATATTTGACCTGTTTAATACATGGCTTTATCTCTAAGTCAGTGTGTGTTCAAGGATGTAATGACAAGGTGTGTGAGTAGGTGGAGAGAGGGAGAGTGTTTGTACCAGTGACGAAGACTCTGCAGGTCTGGGCAGGGTTGGCGTGTGACGTGTAAGAGGGCAATAAGCAGCGCTCCCGGCTCCGTGTCACTCACTCAGACTCACACACCGAGAGGGGAACGAGACGAGAGCGAGAGATCTGGTAAGGCTCCAACTATTTCTTCACCTGTTGAAGGCGTTACTGTTAAATATGTGGTAGCAGGCATTTCTGTTCACTCCTGTTTAATGCTCTCAGTGTTGGGCTGCTTCTCAGCCCTGTTTAATTTTTAACACTTTGATTAAGTCATCCTTGTTTTATTCGCCTCCTATTACACGACACCTTTCAGTCTTTATTTTGCAATCTGCACATTATATGAAACGTTACCTGCACTTCGCAAGTCTTCGAGATTTCCAGGACACCGTTTGTCAGAGCACAGAAGGAAGTGTTTTTGTTTCCACCCTTGTAACAATCCAAAGTCTTAATTTGTTTTCAAAAACAAAGCTGATCTGAAAAGGAGACCAAATATGTCTGCAGTTTCTGGTTATTAGCAGGAAGTGTACTCCTTCAGAGTAGCATTAGTGTGGACTTGGTTATTATGTAACCTGCGGTGAAACGGTTTACAAGGTAATTAACAGGGAGGGGGGGAAGCGATCTTGCAGTTTTTCACTGCAGAGTCAAAACCCCTGAGTACGTCTCATTTCAAACACACAAGTTTGTTTGGCCGCTTTTCTTTTATTAATTAAAAGTGTCCCACCAGGCGGAGAGTGCGAGCGAAGCTTTTGCTGCAGTTGCAATTCTGTCCAAAAGGCACATCTGTAAGTTGATTAACATGATTTCCTGTTAATTCACACAACAGTCGAGCAAGCAATGATCATTGAGGGCCTCAAAGGAGGAGCGCTCTAAGAGACACTCGTTGATTGTGTGACTTGCGACTTTCATGAGAGCCCTCACTTCTCAGAGAAAACTGGAAAATCTTTGAAACTGGAAAAACGGTTCCTGCTGCAGTTGAGTGTAGAACCTCGTGTTGCCTTTGCTTGTTTGAGTGTTTCAAGTTGTTTTTAGGGTTAAAATTAAAATGAGCATGGATTCAGGCTGAGCTTTTACACTTTTTCTATTGGCCGCATCTGTATTGGTTAAAGTGAGTGTTAATATGAGTCGTGGTTTAAAGGAGAGAGAAAAATAAGAGTAGCCGACAAATGTAAGACGATAAAGTTGAACTTTGCCGAGCCACTTACCCTAACCGTGAAAAATGAATGCCTAGCCCTAACCCTTACCCTAAATCGTAACCCAAATGTAACCCTGTCACCAAAACCACCTTTTGAGTCTCAAAAATGCCTTCAAACTTGTTTGACCAGGATTTTGGTCCCAACAAGTACAGTAAACTTCCAATACTTGGTCCCCACAAAGACACACACATACACACAGGTAGGCCTGTCGACTTTTTGGACAAAACAAGTGCAATAAGTGTTGTTTTGTATTGTTTATTCTTTATGCGGATATTGTACATTCGTAGCATTCATTTCATTGTTTATTAAAATTCGCTTAAATGTTTAGAAACCTATTGTCATTTTAAATAGCTCTATATAACATTGTAAAGGTCAGAGGTCAAATGTGACATGTTATTTAAGATGTTATAAGGAAGTTTCAATATGTTGGCAATAGTTTCTAATAGGGCTGCGTTAACGTGGTTAATGATTAACGCGATTAAAATGGACGAACTGCCAAAAATGCGTTGACAGAGACATTTCAGGGATTTTGAGTCAGTCTGCGCTCCAGATGGGTTAATTGTTAATCGCGTTAGTCGTAATGACAGCATTAACACGTTAACGGCAAGTAACCCCTTACACGGATTGATCTGCGTTAACTCGTTAACGTGGATTAGCCTGTTTTAACGCACTAACGCGGATCAGTCGTGCCAACGCCACCGCCACATAACCTCGTTGGTGGAGGTAATAATGCTACTCTTCCTGCACACGGAGTGGAGCAGTCATCAGCCACTCCAACACAGCCAGAATATAAGGAACTCATCTAAACAGCCCGTGATTTGGCACTGTGCTTACACGGGACCCCCGAAAAACACAATGTTTGAAGCAGATTGTATGACTAACTTTCAGAACAGGTGGAGAATGGACAGACAAGCAGGTCGCTGACACCGACAGTTAGTCTGAAGTCATTGATTTTGGCTGCACATCCGGCCGTCAGACTCCCTGTGTGTTTATCTTCAGCGCTAAGAATGCTGCGCGTTCAGTTTTTTGACATCTGTTATCATCACAACCCCGATAACATTGACTCTGACCTGCAGGCTTGGTCACGGCCACCGATATTCAAACACAGACATTCTTGTGATGCCTGCATAGCATATCTGTTGTACAGTACTTACCATCCAGACAGGCTGATAAAACACACACATACTCACATTGATGTGAAAAGTAATTATCTTTCGTCTATGGTCTTTTACACTTTTTCCTTCAGCTTTTATCTCCTATCACTGTTCTTGAAATTTTGGCTGCCTGCATGGAAATGGATCGGACTGTGCGTTTGACAGAGGGCACGGTTATGTAACAGCACTAAACTCTAATCTCTCATCTCTCAGCAGGAACAAACCAGGAGCAGAAAGAGTGTGTGAGAAAGTGCACCAAAGGCCAAAAGAAGTAACAGACAGAAACTCGAAGAAACTCCAACAAAAAGATGGCTATTGGCAAGAACTCCAGGATGAGCTCAGTCCGAAGCTCCATCAGGGCCCCAAAGTTTCTGGACAAATCGAGTGGCTTCTACGGTCGCCTCGACGAGCCCGAGGCCGCCACAGAGGTAGAGGAGACTGGTGTAAATGTTTGCAACATAGAGGAGGGAGTCTCGAGTGACCCATCCATCACCGCGGTGCACTGCTCTGATGAGAAGGAAGAAGGCGAGGTGTTTGGCTTCAGCGAAGGCATGATGGAAGATGACGACGAGAGCCTCCTGAGGAGGAAACCCAGCCGCCGCAGCAGCAGGTGGAGGAGAAGCTCCAGGAGGAAGCAGAAAGAGGGGAGAGCAGACGAGGACGCAGCCAGAGAGGAGAGGCACAGCCTGGGCACGGAGGGTCCAGCTGACTTCCCCGAAGACATCAGGGTGAAGATTGAGGTAGAGATGGAGAACCTGAAGAAGGCGGAGGAAGAAAATGAGAAGGCGGGCAGGGAGAAGGAACCCGTGCTCGTTCACTTCCCGGCTCGGGAGGACGCTGACGACCAAGTCCTTATCCGAGACAAGAAGAGAGGAAGAGAAGACGAAGAGGAGGAGGAGAGGAGGATGACGAAGGAGCAAGAGGAAGGGATGAAAGTGGTGAAGAGGAAAAATTACCGCAAGGTGAGAGAAAATGTGCGCTGTTGTTTTAGGCTGCAGACTTGTATCAACTTCTTCTTCAGTTTGTCACATTTACATAAACTCCATGTTTAGCTTCGCTCCGTCGGGTTAAACTTTAAGCCGAAACTGAAGGTTGTATAACTGCACGCCCAGCATGTGTGGAACAGAGGGGTAAAGTTCTCCCTCGCCATCCTCCACGTAATGCACTCTGGGTTATTAACTGCCATGGAGACTATCATATCACCTTAATAACATGCTGCCACTGCGCGTCCAAGGTCCAGCGGCCACTGGTGCGTGTCACGGCACATGAAGTCACCCCCAAATGAGTTTTTCCTTTACGTCATTTTTAATGACGAAAAATTAAGCAGGTTATTGTAAAGAATTTCTGACATTCCTGTGGCTCCTCTATCATGTCCTTTGATCAGTGGAACGAGGTCAGGTGATGCTGACCCGCCTGCTAAACCCCACACCGTAAAAAAACATTCCAGTGCTGTTAATCAGCTCTGCAGACGATTGGTCGGTTTCAGCTCAGTGTGCAGCGCTGGTTAAATATTTAGTCATGAGTTACCACAGCTTCGGTTCACAACCTGTTTCCAGTGAGCTCATTATTTTCCAGATGGAAATAAAGCTCATTGGTTCTTTTTATAGAAAAGGTCAATAGCGCGTCTCTTGGAATTTCCCAGGAAGCAGCCGTGCTGCGACACAACAGAAACAATCATTAATTTGTATACTGAGCACAGGAATTCCAGTGAATTCCAGGAAAAATCCTTTTATTCAGTGCACAAGAAATGAGCCCAGAGCAGGATAATGTTGAACATTATCATTCAACATATTTAAAAATTCAAAGAAAAACTTCCAGTAATACATTTATATTAAGCAAATGGCTACTTCCAGGTGTTTATTACTATTTTACCTGTTTAATGAAGCGCTTGGCCAACTTAAATTCAGCATCTAACTACAAACTCAATTCAAGACTGAAGAGCTCACAAAACAACTTCATGGAGCTGCTTTGATTACTGACTCATTATCGACACAAGAGCACTGAGGTCTCCTGTGGTGGGATCCTTTGGGTCCTAACAGTTTGCTCCATTGTTTCACACATGCTCGATCGGACTGTGATGTAGAGTTTCGAGGGCGCTCGAGCAGCTGTGTCACATTCCCTGAGGTGTTGCTGAGCTGTTTTGTCTGTGATGCAATGTCCTGCTAGGGGAGACTGCTGCCATGGGGGAGTGCCTTTATCATCGTAACATTGTAACTACATCTGAGGTTCTTCTTGTCACCTGTCAGCGGCTGTAATGTAGCTAACCCGTACTCCTCCTGTTCCCACCAGGCCTTGGACCGAGCACTGCGCCGCGGCTGGGAGGCCTTCGTCGCCAACCTCTACAGCGTCACACTCGCACCGGTGAACTCCTCGCCATCGTCGTCTTCACCGTCGTCAAAGAAGAAGCACCAGCACAATTCAGTGTTAGCAGAATTTCAATAGAAATGGAAATAGAGATGGACAATGAAGCTTGAGGCTTCTTATGCAGCGTTTTACCACGACTGCTGCAAAGTATCGGACAATCCTGCCTGTATAACATTTACCACATGACGTGTCTGAGTCATCACCTCAGGAATATTAATCAATTATGTAACTTACTGAGTCTTAATTACTCAGCTGAACCTTTATTGCCTTGTTAGGATGCACCTTAGCCAGGACACAAACTGCAGGGCTCGATGGGCTGCTGGTTTTACAGTGAAGTCTATGAGACTGGCCTGAACAGAAATCCCTGGTCTTTATGTGACTGAGTTCAGCAGCTGCTCGTCCCCCTTCTAATCTCCAGTTTTAGTCAAGTAAGAGCATTTTAGCTCTTACTATCCAGTTCGTTACTAAGAGCTCGCAGTGCAAATGATCTCTGCTTCCTTTGGTTTAGCGCTGTGAAACTCCTCGAGTGTTGATGTGTAACCAAAG